CTTTCTAGGCTACCTAGCTGAGTGTTTAGATATTGTGACCCCTAAATTACTACGTAAACTAAATATTTTCGAGAATGGTTAAGAAATAGCCCCCGCAACCCTCCCTATTTGTAGAGTCTGTCCTTTTTTTTTTATAGCATAAAGAAAACTTATGTGAACTAAACTTGATAATTTTGAGTCTTTCATGATTCAAGCCAAACAAGTTGACTAGTGTTATGCTGAGATGTATAAATGCAAGGTTACACTTGCTTATAATATCATTTTCACAATTTATGTACTGTTTACAGTAAGTTAGTTATATATAACAAACATAATTTATTTAAGAATTATTGGAATGCTGTGTGCTGATATTTTGTCATCATTTTAACATGTAAAATGTAAGTCTGGTTGTAAAAATAATACAAGTGCTTATATATATTGGTTCTATCAATTACATATATATGTTAATTTTCGTTGGTTTACTTTATCAGGATATAATTGTATATATTTTCTCTTATCAGAATGGCTAACTATGATGAATTTGGTGACGGTGAAGACCTGGCAGTGGGAGGAATTGGCTGCCAGACCATTATAACATTTCCATCACAGACAGGATCCCTTCCAAGTGTACTAAGAAGAGGAATTTTGACAACGATTTTGACTCTAAAGAATGTACACAAGGTGAAGGAGGTTTCCATCTATGGTTATGAGGATATATGATAGACTATTACTAATGTTGGTACATCCTAGGATGGGAATAGCTTGATTAACAGTAACAATGTGTTGTCACTAGACTTCTCATCTGTAAGACAGCAAGGTTAATTGAATACAACTATCTACATAAAAAGCTCATAGCGTACGGTACTCACTTGCCAATTGGGAAATATGCAAAAGAGTACCGTACGGTACTCACTTGCTAATTGGTGAATATGCAAAAGAGTACTGTACGGTACTCACTTGCCAATTGGTGAATATGCAAAAGAGTACCGTACGGTACTCACTTGCTAATTGGTGAATATGCAAAAGAGTACCGTACGGTACTCACTTGCCAATTGGTAAATATGCAAAAGAGTACCGTACGGTACTCACTTGCCAATTAGTAAATATGCAAAAGAGTACCGTACGGTACTCAATTGCCAATTGGTGAATATGCAAAAGAGTACCGTACGGTACTCACTTGCCAATTGGTGAATATGCAAAAGAGTACCGTACGGTATTCACTTGCCAATTGGTGAATATGCAAAAGAGTACCGTACGGTACTCACTTGCCAATTGGTGAATATGCAAAAGAGTACCGTACGGTACTCAATTGCCAATTGGTGAATATGCAAAAGAGTACCGTACGGTACTCTTTTGCCAATTGGTGAATATGCGCCCGGGAGGCAGGAACATTTGAATAACTTCGGGACCTGAAGGAACTAAGAATATATTTGCTTCAAGGCTATATATACATATGTAGTTAATAAGGGGGTATAGGATTAACAGGAACTACCTAATGTAGGCCTCTGGGCCTTTTGTAGCTTCCTTATATTCTTATTCTTATGTTTTTTTCCCAATATGCAGCCAAACAACCCTAATATATTATATTTGACATGCCTGAGACCCTTAAAATGTATTCATTTCCACCCCAAATTCAGAAAATTCATTGTAGGATGAAGTATGTGTATTTGATGGTAAAACACATCAATTTTTCTTCCTCAGGTCTCCCAGTCTAACCTATCTTAAAGCAACTTATGGCTCTCAGATACAGGCAACAGGGAATGTTCAACTTTCCATTGCTGACTGTTCAGATATGTTACAAGCAAGTGTAAGCAAATGTCTCAAGAGCTATTGCTTCCCTGGCACCACAATTAGAAAATTTCCACAGCCTCCAGAAGATGGACAAATTATGGAAAATGTTGTTTTTATGGGTGTTGTGCTTGGTGTAATTGGCTGTGTTGATGGGTTCCACATTCCTATAGTTAGTATAGGTGGTTATAACGCTGAACTATATATAGATATAGAAAAGTTGTTTGTTTTTTTCGTTAATGTAATGGGTGTGTGTGATGCAGATTTTGGATTCACTTCACTAATCACTGGTTGGGCTGGAAGTGTACATGATTCACGCATTTTTCCTCCTCAAACTTGCATCAACTGCTAGAATCAGGTGGTTACAGAGGTTATTTGTTAAGTGACAGTGGCTATGCCTACCACCCATATCTAATTACTCCAAGCTTAAATGCAACCACAGAGAAAGAGGCGTTATAACAAGAAATGCTATAGTGAGTGTTTGGAATATGGAAACGGATATTTGCAATATTAGAGTGTAAAATGAGAACAAATTTGAGAACTGGAAATAATATTATAACTGTATGGGCTGTATTTCATAACATGGTAATTGAAAGTAGGCTTAATTGAACTTATTGAAGAACCTGAAAATGTATTGCCAGATGCCATAGAACTTGTGTCCCATGTACAGGCTATTATAGAGACAATCTACATTGTGATATTTCACCAAGTGAACAAAAACTTTATATCCAAGCATTTTCCTTGTTATCAGAACAACATGATCTCGATCATGTTAGAAAAAATTTTGTGATTAAGATTATTAAATAAATGTAGTTGATGAGAACCAGTTTAATTTTTAGAGCCAATATGTGAAAGGGTTAAAGGAAACTTTATATAATCCCATGTCATATTTGGTGTCACTAGAGATATTGTTCCTCCAGACAACTGCTTTGTAAGTAAAGCAATTGACAGGTAGATATAGATAACAGAAATATGAAGAAAAACTTAACATAGAAAATGAAAACACTACAAAAAAAATTACCTGAGATTCTCATGTAAGCCCTTAACATATAGAAAATATATACACTAAAGAAAAAAAGGAAAAAGAAAAAAAAACGCATAATCCTTAACATATAGCATACATACATTTCCTTAACATATACAATATACATTGCTACAATAACCTATTCAGCAGCTTCATAAAATGATCTAGCAAATTCTAAAAATCTATTACGATAATGGAAAGACTCCTCCATATTTTGCAGAGCATTTTGT